TTAGATTCAGGAGACTTGGGTTCTACCTCCCACTGACCTGCTCTGTGACATGAGCATAGCACTTCACTCTCGGGGCCTCCATTTTCCCATCTGTACAATGGATATATGATGCTTACCAACCTTTCTAAAACACTTGGAGCACTGTGGTGAAAAGAGCTGTGTAAGCAAAGTATCGTCACAGAGACACAACTTTTAGATCAATAATAAATGCGAACAGCCATACTACCAGGGTGGACTTAAATGTTTCTCCACATAAATAGTTAGGATCTGCTTGCTGGAGGAATTCAGCAGCACTAGACTATGGCCACACTACGTAGCTTTTAGCGACACGGCTGTGCCGCTACAGCCATGCCGCTAAAAGCCGCACAGTGTAGCTGCTGTTTGTCAGCAGGAGGGAGTTTTCCTGCTGACAAAAAACTTCCATCCCCCACAAGCAGCAGCGGCTTTGTCAGCAGGAGAGCGCTCCTGAAGCTCATGTTACTCATTCTGTGCTGTGAGACAGGCAGTGCCCAGATCTCTCTGGGCAGGGGACACCGGCCCGGGCTGGCGGTGCCCAGATCTCTCTGGGCAGGGGACAGTGGCCCGGGCTGGCGGTGCCCAGATCTCTCTGGGCAGGGGCCACGGGCCCGGGCTGGCAGTGCCCAGATCTCTCTGGGCAGGGGACAGTGGCCCGGGCTGGCAGTGCCCAGATCTCTGGGGACAGGGGACACCGGCCCGGGCTGGCGGTGCCCAGATCTCTCTGGGCAGGGGACAGTGGCCCGGGCTGGCGGTGCCAAGCTGTCTGGGGGCAGGGGACACAGGCTCGGGCTGGCGGTGCCCAGGTCTCTCTGGGCGGGGGACACGGGCCTGGGCTGGCGGTGCCCAGATCTCTCTGGGCAGGGGACATGGCCTGGGCTGGCGGTGCCCAGGTCTCTCTTGGCAGGGGACGCCGGCCCGGGCTGGCGGTGCCAAGGTGTCTGGGGGCAGGGGACACAGGCTCGGGCTGGGGCGGTGCCCAGATCTCTCTGGGCAGAGGACAGTGGCCCGGGCTGGCGGTGCCCAGATCTCTCTGGGCAGAGGACAGTGGCCCGGGCTGGCGGTGCCCAGATCTCTCTGGGCAGGGGACATGGCCCAGGCTGGCGGTGCCCGGGAGCTCAGAGCCCCCTTCTTACCCTCCTGCTTGGACCCGCAGCTCCCCTCCGCGGTCAGCAGCGTGAGGACCAGCCCGGGCAGCAGGAGCAGTTGGGGCAGCATGGGGGCGACTTCTGGCGGTTCCTGGGCTCCCCGAGTCCGGCTCCAGCCGCGGTGCTGCCTGCAGACCCGACCCAGCCCTGTGCACCGGGGAGCGGGACAAAGCGGCACCCCCCCCCGGCCAACTCCCGGCGCTGCGCGGCTCTCGCTGCCACGCACTAAACCCGCCCCTCCGGGGGGCTCCTCCCTGCAGTCCTGGCTCAGCCCCTTCCCTCCAGCCCGGCCGACTGCAGCCTTTCCGCCCGCACAGCGGATCGCTGGAGTCGACTGGGACAAGGGCCCAGCCCCCCGAAAGCTGGGGAGTCTGCCCACCCCACTGCCTTCCCCCACCCCTAACCCGCTCCCCACTACCCCAGCCCCCAGGCTGCGGGACCTAGAGCAGACAGGGTTCCGGCTCCAGTCACCCCATCCCCACTGCCCCACTTCAGGGGGGCTTTCTGGACACACCTCGTTAAGTATTGCGGGCGATTTAGGCATGAGAAATGCTACACAGAGCGATCCTCTCTATTACTATTTAGAAATGAACTCATGTGGCAAAGTTCAGATCCCAACTTTCCCAAAGGGGGTGTGTTGAGGGTGGAGGGTCTTCAGGGGAATGCTGGGTTTGCTTTGGACCCCCCCCCCTCTATTGTGACTGTACAGTGGTGCTGGAGCTAGGGCAGTTGTGGCTGGATTAAAGTAGTAATAACAGACACCAAATAACATGGTTTCCATCCCCAGCACCCCCACTGTTCCAGCCTCCCTGTGTGTATCAGGACCCAAGGGATGGATTTGTACTGAAGGAGCTGAGGGAAGAGGGGCATTTAATCGTGGTCAGAGATGAGCCACTAGAAGTGGGAGGAACACTTCCCCCAGCCTCATCCACTGCATGGTTATCATGTGATTGTAGGTGATGGAACTGTGGGTGCTGCCACACCCCTTGAAGTGGTTTCCATCATATACAGGGATTACAGTTTGGTTCAATGTCTCTCAGCCCCCCCACGACAATAGAACCTCAGAATTACGAACACCAGAGTCAACCACAAAACCTGATTTGGAACCAGAAGTACACAATCAGGCAGCAGCAGAGACGACAAAAAAAGAGAAGCAAATACAGTACCGTACTGTGTTAAACGTAAACTACTAAAAAAAAGGAAAGCAGCATTTTTCTTCTGCATAGTAAAGTTTCAAAGCTGTAGTAAATCAATGTTCAGTTGTAAACTTTTGAAAGAACCATAATGTTTTGTTCAGAGTTATGTACATTTCATAATTACAATCAACCTCCATTCCCGGGATGTTCGTAACTCGGAGGTTCTACTGTACACAAATTGTTCCAGCACCCCTGCACGTGGTGTGCACATTTGCACAGACATTAAGCATGAGAAAGTTGCAGCAGAAAAAGATTACACACAGCTCTGGAATTTGGGGATCATTATTAAATATTTTCCTTCCACCTGTCAGTTCACATTAGTCATCTCTTACTAGCATAGTATAAAATCTGTTACAATACTCACATAGATCCCTGGTGTGTTTCATCAGCTAACGTTTACTGCTTATTTCTCCTTTTGTTTACATTTATTTTTCTGTTTATCATTAAGAACCTGGTTAGTTCATCTTTAATTGTTTTGTTGTGCAAGCCTTTCCCCCCTTGAAGTCCTGCTTAGTTCTGTAACAAGGCTATTTTATATGTTTGGTTTGCCTTATTGGTGTAATAAAAATATACTAATTTAAAAGGATGAGGCAGGGGGGGTTCTGGTCATTTTTGTAAGGTACTGAATGTTGCGCCGAGTAGACCCATCTCTGATACTGACTTGCTGTGTGGCCTGGAACAAGTTATTAAATATGATTTATTATTACTTCTATTTATATTGCAGTAGAATCTAGAGCAGGAGTGGCCAAACTTACTGGCCCTCTGAGCCACATATGACAATCTTCAGAAGTTCAAGAGCCAGGGCACACCTGCCAGGAGCCGGGGGGTAAGGCAGCTGAAGCCCCGAGAAATGATTGAGAAATCCATCAATGCCCCCCAACCCCTGCAGGGCTGAAGCCCCAAGCCCCTCCTCCACACAGGGCTGAATTTGGCCCACTGCCCGTATGTGAGGATAGGAAATCTGTCAGAGTTGAGAGAATAGCACTGGGTAGATCAACAGGGGTATATGAAAGTCAGGGGCAGAGAACTGGAGATGGTAGGATTTGTTTAATTAGAGACAAGCCCCGAACCAAAACCCTGGATTCAAATCCCAAGCAGCTCAAATCCATCAATGCCCCCCAACCTGTGTGAGACCTTTAGGTGCTATTGCAATATAAATACTGAATAAATATCTATGTAATAACGCAGATCCAAACCCCAGATCTGGACACACCAAACACTGGAAAAATGTGGGTCTGGATTCCAACTCCCCTAGAGTCAGGGAAGTTCAGATGCCAGGTTTTGGTTGAGCCCTTTACATAGATTCAAGTTTCAAAGCTGTGAGTTCATGTTTGGAGCCAGGTCTTACGTTCAGATCCAGGTTTTGATTCAGCACTTTACCTAGATTCAAACTTTGGATTCAGCTCCACAGTTCATCTCAGATTTTTGGAACAGGCCTGTCTGTCTCTCATTTTAAGTCAGTTTAAGTATCTCCATTCTAAGATGAGAGATTTCTCGGTGCATCTAAAACCCGAATTTGTCATTGTTTATAATCTCCCTTTATTCAAACTATCCCAGCTTGGCAGCCTTGCTTGCATTCTGCAGCTATACCAACCATCCCAGGGAGTGTATGTTTATTTCCTGGTTCTCTGTTTGTCCTCCCCTTTGCCCTCCTGTTGGAATTCGTTGCCTGTCTTTTTAAACAGCAGAAGCTGCCAATGCAGATGTTCCAGTGAGTACGTGCAACACGTGCTTCATGTGAAGCATCAGCTTGCCAACCAATTTAAAGAAACAGAACTCAGTTTTAATAGGTCCTCAACCAAAAAGTAGATACTCTGGATGAAAAATCGTGGCCCTATTTAATTTAATCAGAATGAGTTTTGTCATTCACTTGATGGTACTGGGATTTCTCCCTCCATTTTTTGAAAAGATCCTACGTGCCATAAAGTCAGTAATGTATTTACAGGGAGGAAGCCAAGAAATTTTCCTCCTCTCTTTCCCCTCACTAAACTGTCAATTCTCTGGCTCTAAATAGTTAATTTCCCACCCAGTGAACACATTTCCTACCCCACTTCTGCTCATTATATTTCTCTATGATTTGTACTGTCATTTGAAAACTATAGTGCAGAGCACAATTTGCATTGGCTTGGTCTGTAGATTTCAGTCACATCATAACGCTTATTTTTTCCATTCACTATACAGTGTGGGCAAATATTTAAACCTAACAGAAGAGAATCCACCTTTTTCTCCCTAAGCTTACAGGCTCTGCTAGAATAACAGGAATAAAATGTAATTAAAAACTTGTATTATGAGAAAAAAATTGGTTTCGTCAGTAAAGTCAGCAGATTTAAGGAGGGAAAATATAATTCCGTACATTGAAATGTGGCCATGACTCCCTGGCTGATACAAAAGGTACCATGAAATCGTCACATGGCCAAGAATTTGGTTTGAAGAAAAGACAGTATCTTCAGCGGTACAGCAAGCTCCATGTTGGGGCACTGATTCAGTACTGACTCTAAATCACTGACACCACTTCCTGCAGCAACTAGAAGTTCTCTGGAGTAGACTCATCCAAGTAACAACTAATCCTCAAAAAAGAACTTCCTGGCCAACTTTAATTTTATAGGCAAAATAATTCTTTTTGCCTTGAGACTGGTGTCAAATCTCCAGAAACTACAGAAATGTATTTGTAGAGCAACTTAAAATCAAATGAATGAGATTTAGTGGCTCATTTGAGCCAGCTGCTCAAATATCATATTTCAGACCAACATGATGCTAAGTGATTGAGATCTAGATGTCTGAAAAGAGAGATTTATAATAAGAAGCTGGTGGTATTCCAGCAGGGCTGCTCTAGTAATGCTCTATCAGTAACAATATCCACGTTATATTATAAGAAACCTATGCCAAGTCAGGCTGTTTTTTAAATTAGACTCTGGAAGGCTGCCTGATTTGGTATATGTCTGAGCAGAGCAGCTTATATCAATTACTAATGATCCAACCCAATGGATGGAATTGCTCTGCGTGGATCTTGCATATTCCCATAGTAGAGATTTGAAACAAGCCCCTGATATGGTAGGGTCTACAGTGTGCTGAAAGTTGCTCTTTGCCTAACTTAACTAGTGGTGCAACCACATTTAAAAAAAAGTTGAGCTTGAAGAAGTAGGGGAAGGAGAGCGAGAATGAAATTCAAACGTCCTTCAGCTACACTGAGAGAGTAAAGTTGAGGGGCACATCTCTCCTTGCCTCTCCAGTGGTTGCATCTATGTCTGATACTTTATGATGTGAGTGTATTTTGAACATTAAAGAGTTTCTGACTGCCGAGTTGTGCCACACTTCATTTCAAAGCACATCTCCAAACAGGAGAATATCTACTCTTCGTTTTATCTCCGTCACTTTCTGTTTGACCTCTGCCAACAAAATCTAACAAGGAAGTCACAGCCGGGGGCAACAAGCGCAGGAGTTAAGATTCTCAGAAAGAACTGCTATCCTTTATCCTGGGGCTGTAACTAATCATGGACTTCCTATGACACATATAACCTAGCAGGGCCACACAGCTCTGGTACTGCCTGAGATAGCTGGAGACTGTTCCAAAGAGACACACATCTAGATCTTACATTGGCCCCAGTAGCACAAAGCCTGACACTGCCCCCACCTTCCCACCAGCATATCATGAGCTCGCCACAGACAAAGCCTAGCACTGCTCTCTCTATCTACACAGACACAGCCTGGCATCATCTTCCAGCCCAGTAACCCGCCATTGCAGCAGAGCAGTCTGGCAACCCCCACATTAAGACAAGCGGAGACCGTCGCCAACTCTCAGCACAGACAGGCTCTAGCACTGCCCTTCTCTCTCACAGTCTGCACTGCTTCCCTGGCAACCACCACCGCACACAGCCAGGCACTGCCCTATTCCATCAAACACACACCAAACCTGGCACAGCCCCACCCCCCAGCATGCCCCCAGCCTGGCACTGCCCCCGCCCTGAGCACACACCCAGCCTGGCACTGCCCCGCCCCCCAGCACGCTCCCAGCCTGGCACCGCCCCACCCCCCCAGCATGCCCCCAGC